ACCAAAAGAAGAAATTTCACCTCTACACGTTAAAAACTTACTATAATTATTGGCCAATTAGCATTGAGATCAGTGGATACCAAGCATGAAAGTGACATATTTGCTTTAGTACGTAGTTTAGCTCTTCTAATACAACATAGTCACACGTCAAAATATAGATAACAAGTTAACATTTTTTTAAAAAAGGTTTCACTTTATTGTTTTTTGTACACAGTTTCAAGGCATAAACACGTCAAAACTTACTAATTTCTATGACTGTTTAACAGAGAGATATACGCATAACAACTTTAGTTCACATCAAGTCGTCAATCCACAAAATCAATTTAACAATCATAAAATATGAGGATTTTCTGCTCTCATGTCTTCTTTTATCGATCGTATCATTTGGAATAAGCTAGCAAGTCTAAAAGACACAGCAAAAGAGTTTGGCGGTGGTCTAAGAGTTTGGTTTGGTGTTCTTACCAATGTTAACTATTTTAAAATTTTATTTTGCCGTGCGTTACCGCACGGGTAGGTTTCCATAGTTATTATTATTAAAAACATGTAACTATGTAGGCTGAAACAAATGATTTTTTTTTTCTTTAAAAGTTTTCTCTCTTACTTTTGATATTATTACCTTTCTCTCGAGTCTCCACCGAACTAATATTCAAAAAAAGACTAAGACTTGTAGTCTATTATTGCACTGTAACAAGAAATTTAAAAGATGTTTATACTTCTTTTCTTGGAAAATATTTTAAAGATGTTTGATACCGAATTTAGTTTGATTACAGTTTATTCTATCGCATCTGCATTGAGAAAAGGGAAAAAACCCGAAAAAAACCGCCATCTAATTTTTTTTGGCCGTTTAATACATGTAGTATTAAATTTAGAATAAAAACACCTTAGTTAATTTCGGTTGCCTTTTAAAACCTTCGTTTTTAAAAAATTGGTAAAATCGTACCTCCGAGTTAACGGCTGTTAACTTTGCTAACGGAAGCACTAACTACGGTTAAAACTTAACCCATGGTGTTAACGTGTATATATATATAATCTCTTTTTAAAATTTAACGAATATATCGTCTTAGTCAGATGGTTAAACGTTGTCCGACTACCTTCTTCTCTTTTTAAGCGTTTTTAATTTTTTCTTTAATTTTTTTTTTACTTGATTGAAGAGAAAGGAAGCAAGCGATCTCCCCGAGAGAGAGTCACTGGATCGAAGAGAAAAGGAGGCGAAACTCTTTTTGGGCCACATTAGCATGCACCCCTTGGTGGGCCTGACCCACTAATGAAGGAAAAAAGAGAATTATTTGTTTCTATCAATGAATGGTCCCTCTTTAGCACGAATTGCAATGGGGATATTATTCTCTATTCTCATTGGCCGAGAAGTGCATAAAATTAGTCAGAAAAAATCCAAAGTTTCCTTTTAACTAATGTTTTGGAGTCCACAAATTTAATCCAAAGGTCCACAATTCATCATATTAATATTTTTGAGAATCTTATATTATTTATTATATAGAAAAAAGACAATCCCTATAAGGTTAAAAATCTAGCCCTAATAATCTATCTGTTTTATTATATACTTAGATATCACCATTGGCAAAAAAAAAAAAAAAAAAAAAAAAAAAATATCACCACCGTCGCCGTCGTTCACCCACCTTCTCCGTCGTCGACTCTGCATCTCCCTCGCCGAGCTGCTATCTAGTGTGGTACGAGATCCTTTTTCTCTTCTTATCCCCTCTAGAGATCGATTACGATACACTCTTATGTTGTGGATATTTAGGTTTTACTAGTCATTAGCTCTGTTATTGTTTGCATCTGCTAATTTCCAGCACCATTGATGATTGCCAAACCTAACATCCTATAAAGACTTCCCTTTTGATGGTCAGATAAATATTGATTTGTGTAGTATATTCTGAGGGATGGCAGATCGATTGACGCGAATCGCTATCGTGAGTGAAGACCGGTGCAAGCCTAAGAAATGTCGCCAGGAGTGCAAGAAGAGCTGTCCTGTTGTCAAGACTGGTACTTTTCTGAGTTTTGAAACTCTTTTCTGCATAAAGAACGGTTTTTTATGCCTTGTTTTCTATCTCTAGGGAAACTTTGTATCGAGGTTGCTCCTACTTCCAAGACTGCTTTCTTATCAGAGGAGCTTTGTATTGGATGTGGTATCTGTGTTAAGGTACTTATATATCTTTTTAGAATGAATGAATGAATGTGTCTTCCTCTAGTTTGAGTGACAATGATTTGTTGGTGCACAATTTTTCAGAAATGCCCCTTTGAAGCTATTCAGATTATCAATCTTCCTAAGGACTTAGACAAAGATACAACCCATCGATATGGGGCTAATGGATTTAAACTGCACAGGTTAGCTAATCAAAAGTTTTTGCCTTGTGGAATCTGTTTGATAATCTGTATTTAGGGCTCTGATATGTTTCTCGGCTTACAGGCTTCCGGTTCCACGGCCGGGGCAAGTCCTTGGGTTGGTTGGAACAAATGGTATTGGAAAAACTACTGCTCTCAATATCTTGGCTGGAGGAAAACTCAAACCAAATCTCGGCAGATTTAATGTAACTATAGGCTCTCTGAAGTTTCTCTACCTCTTATGCATATAATGTGTCTATTCTGTAATTTTTGTATGATTGATTATTCTACTACTTCTTGGGCAGACTCCTCCTGACTGGGAAGAAATTTTGACTCACTTCCGCGGGTCAGAACTTCAAAGCTACTTCATCCGACTCGTAGAAGAGAATCTAAAGGTTAGGGTCCAAACTATTCTTGATATTTATTCTTAAGGAAGCAGCTCACTAAGTGAGTCTGATGCCCCTTGTATGTATGACAGACTGCTATAAAGCCACAACATGTTGACCACATAAAAGAATTTGTTCGAGATAATCTTGGGAAGAAGCTTGAGGAGATGGACGAGAGAGGAATGATGGAAGAGATTTGTGCTGATATGGAGTTGAACCAGGTCCTGGAGCGTGAAGCAGGACAAGTATCTGGTGGAGAGCTGCAGAGGTTTGCGATTGCCGCAGTTTTCGTAACGAAAGCTGATATATACATGTTTGATGAACCATCTAGTTACCTCGATGTGAGGCAGAGACTCAAAGCTGCTCAAGTTATACGCTCACTCCTCAGGCATGACAGGTTTGTTTTTCTCATCTTCTGAACTCCTTGGTATTGAGTTTATCTTACTGAATAAGATACATGTTGCTTACATGGGCTTCGCCTTTTTGTTGTTGTAGCTACGTAATTGTTGTGGAGCACGACCTCAGCGTCCTTGACTATCTCTCGGATTTCGTGTGCTGTTTGTATGGGAAACCAGGAGCATATGGTGTCGTGACTCTCCCCTTTTCTGTCAGAGAAGGAATCAATGTGTTCTTGGCCGGGTTTATCCCCACAGAAAACTTGCGTTTCAGGGATGAATCTCTGACCTTCAGGGTAAAGCTTTTCCAGTGGCCTCCAAGAGAAGTGGCTGACATTTGTGACTGATATAGTTTTTTCTTCTCTTTCCAAGGTTTCTGAGACTACACAAGAGAGTGATGGGGAAGTGAAGTCCTATGCAAGATACAAATACCCAAACATGAGTAAGCAACTTGGAGATTTCAAGCTGGAAGTGATGGAAGGGGAGTTCACAGACTCTCAGATTATCGTAATGCTTGGAGAGAATGGTACAGGGAAAACGACCTTCATCCGGATGCTGGTAAAATTCCTCTCCTTTGTTTTCTCTGCTTCTTGTGGTTAGACGTTGAATGAATGAAATTTGTATCTTAATGCAGGCAGGCGCATTCCCACGTGAAGAGGGTGTAGAATCGGAGATTCCAGAGTTTAATGTGTCGTACAAACCGCAAGGGCTTGATTCGAAGCGCGAGTGTACAGTGAGACAGTTGCTACATGACAAGATTCGTGATGCATATACACATCCTCAGTTTGTGTCAGATGTAATAAGACCGCTTCAGATTGAGCAGTTGTTGGACCAAGTGGTAAAAACTCTGTCTGGTGGAGAGAAGCAGAGGGTTGCCATTACTCTATGCCTCGGGAAGCCTGCTGATATCTATCTGATTGACGAGCCAAGTGCACATTTGGACTCAGAGCAGCGGATCACTGCTTCAAAGGTCATAAAACGCTTCATCCTGCACGCAAAGAAAACCGCGTTTATAGTGGAGCATGACTTCATAATGGCAACCTATCTTGCGGACCGAGTCATTGTGTACGAAGGACAGCCAGCTGTCAAGTGTATTGCTCATTCTCCACAGTCGCTGCTCAGCGGAATGAACCTCTTCTTATCGGTAATCTAACACTTTTAAGACGTTTGAGTTATTATAAAGGGATCAATCTCCTCTATAAAACCCACTAACTTGTTGTCCTTTGCAGCACTTGAACATCACATTCAGAAGGGATCCGACGAACTTCCGGCCAAGGATAAACAAACTAGAGTCCATCAAGGACAAGGAGCAAAAGACTGCAGGATCATACTACTACTTAGACGATTGATTGATTGGTTGGTCAGAGAGAGATGCATACCAAAATCTTAGGAAAGTGAACTAGTATATTGAGACTGAAACAATGCCTTTGATTGTTATGTTTGTATTTTGAGACTCCCTCTCTGTCTGCATAAAGTTGTGACTAAAGCTTGTAAGTTGTTTCAAGACCACTTACCTAGAAATTTAAGCATCAAACATTAGAGATAGAAGTTGGAGGTAATGTTGCTTGGATGCATTAGAGCAAGAAAGCAAGTTAAAGGATTCTGAAATTGAGATTAAATGGCGCTTGAGATTATGATAATTTTTCTCTATTAAAAGGATTGATTCCGGTTACTCCAATATAATGTTTGTCGTATTGTTCTGTTTTTGATTTTGTCAAAACTCGTCTTGTCTTCTTCGATTTCTGAACCACTTAAACTAAATCATCAATGTTCTTTTGGTGATTGTTCATAAGAATGTCTTTTTTTTTTGTAACATAATATTGTTTGCATGAATCAATCGTATGTCACAAAAATATCCTAATTATATAAGTTTTTTGGATCAATCAAACTTATTTTCTTATATACCTTGTTTGATTGTAGTCAAACAAACCGAGAGTCGTGAATAGATAAAATAGAAAGAAGTATAGGTGATCATATTCATAGGGGATAGATAGAGTCGTGAATGGACTTAGAGGCCCATGTCTCGAGCGTCCTGGCTTCCTTTTCCAATCTCAAATCCTTCAAGGATGCCACCGGTAGGACCACTTTGGGTATTTTCCATATTCCTCAGAAGATTCATCTCTTGTGGAGACAGAGTTCCTCTCTCTCTTGCTTCTTTCCTACGCTTTTCCCAATCAACAATGGCTTCCACGTTTACACAATGGCGTGACAAGGTCTGGATTATCTGTTATAGGGGAAAAAAAACAATGGTTAATTAACATCAAATTAAACAAAGAAATAAGACTAAAAAGTATCAATATATATTCTTACTCACATCACCAAAAACGGGGAAAAATGGTGACTGAGGTTCAAGACATATCTTCTCCACAGACTCTATGATTTGGATCTATTGAGAAATTAGAAATTGTAATTATTTACTTATAAAAATGCAACATATTATTGTTTTGTTATTAAAATGCTCACTTGGGTAGTTTTGCTGGTGGCATATTGAATAAGGATAGGACCATATGTATCAAAAACCTGATTGATGGTTTCTTGGATGCTAAGGAGCACTGAAACAATTTTTGAGAATGAGAGTAGCTAGATATAGTTCATAATTAGAGAAGATGCAAAAAAAAACCTAATTAATTAATTACCGTTTAGGTTTGCACGTCTTTGAACAGCAAGAAGCATTCCTTTCACAATGGCCTCCGCATATTTTGAGTGAGGCACAGCTTCGGCCAAAGTCTCTGACATTCTTTCAAGCTGTTTACGGATTTTGGTCATCGGCTCACGCCTCTCATAAGCCGTTTCCAATAGACCAACAATCTACAAAGAAGCAAAATGTAAAAACATTAGTTGATAAACTATATGATAACATATCATTAAATCTTATTATATCAATCTTGTACCTCAACACTCAGATCCTCAGCGCCACCTTCCATTTTCTTCCATTTTTTTCTTGGTCGAAGCGGATCGAAGAATAGTAATATCACTAGGTCCTTATCGTCTAGCATCGATCGGCGGCTACAGTGAAGAGCTCTGAATTCGTTGGAGCGGATTAAAGATCTCCATTGCTTTGAGACGCAGTTGCATACAGCCAAGGATTGCAGAGGCAACCGTGACAGAATCTCCTTTTGTAGATCTTCAGGAAGTGTATCGAAATTTGGATTCTCCATTCTTGTTCTTCTCTAGTGAATATTTTGTGTTTTGAGAGATAGAGACTTACTAAACACACATGTGATATTTATAAGAAAATCTAAGACCTTTGGTTGTTACCAACGATTGTAAGTGGATCACTTTAGTTTAACTTGTTGAGTCGTAAAACGCGTACATCTAAATTAAAAACCGAAAGAAGAAATTTCACCTCTACACGTTAAAAACTTACTATAATTATTGGCCAATTAGCATTGAGATCATTGGATACCAAGCATGAAACTGACATATTTGCTTTAGTACGTAGTTTAGCTCTTCCATTACAACAGAATCACACGTCAAAAATATAGATAACAAGTTAACATTTTTTTGAAAAGGTTTTCACTTTATTGTTTTTTGTACACAATTTCAAGGTATAAACACGTCAACACTTACTAATTTCTATGACTAATTAACAGAGACAGATAACTTTAGTTCACATCAAGTCGTCAATCCACAAAATCAATTTGAATATACGAAATATTTTTTAAAATGTATTAATTAATTATTTATGTTGTTCAAATTTCGAAACAAACAGATGTGATATATTTATAATTATAATAAAATCTCAGAGTTTGTTACTAAGGTTGTGACTTGTGAGTGACTGGCTGATCACTTGAGTCGTAAAACACCTACATCTTTACTTTATTTCTAAATGGAGAAATGTTAGTTCCACAAACTTACTATAATTATGGGCCAATTAGCATAGAGATGGTTGAAATACCAAGCATGAAATTGACAGTCGCACACGTTTTTGTAGTTAAGTTCTTCGAATACAACTATTATATCACACGTCAAAATATTGATAATGAAGTCAACTTTTATTTTATAAAAAAAAAGGTTTTCACTTTAAATATGTGTTACTGAATTGTGTCATACGTTAAAACTTATTGATTTTTATTACAAAATTAGCAGAGAGATTTGGTACCAAGCATGAATTGAAAGATTTTGTTTTATAGTACATGACATCTACTCATCCACACTTCTTGAGTTTAATTCTTCGAATAAAATTGAATCACACGCCAAATATAGATAACACCTTAACCTTTTAAATAGTTTTCACATTAAGTTTTTTGTAAACAATTTCAAAGAAAAAAGGTATGACAGAGAAATTTTACTCGTAGTATATAAGGTATATTTTTACTCATAGTATATTAATTTACTCATAGAAACTAATAAGTTTTGATGTTTAGGTAGCCAACTTGAGAATTTGGTGTATTGTAAAGTATTAAAACATGACTTCAAAATTGATCTATTATGTTTACCTGTGCAGAACAAAACATGATCTAAGCAAAAAACACGACTTCAAATTGATCTAACGCATTTCATGACTTTGCTTTGCATAAGGCGATCTTCAGAGTTTAGACACAAACACAACAATAGGGTTTTGAGAAATCCCGGAAGACACAAAAAGTGTCTTTTAAAATTTTATTGTAAAGGATTCGTTATTATTTTCTCCCGTTTGATATTTTGTTTTTCAATCAATTGAAAGAGACGAAAGAAACAGAACGGAAAGAAAACTCCGGTGATCGGAAAAATATAAATCGTAAATCGCGAATCGATAAAATCAAACGAAGTAACAAGAAAACGAAGAAGAGAAGATAAAGCTCTCTTCCGTTGAACACAACGAAGGCGGATTCTCCTTATTGTGCTCGGATACCATAATAAATTTTGGTATACTGGACGTTCAAGATCGGAAAGAGAGAGAGTGAAGAAGCTAACAAACTTTATTATTGAGGTGAAAATATTTTTTCAACAACTTAAACTGTAAATGAGAATCTAATTAAACTTATATACATAAGATTAAATGTAGCATTAAACCAAGATCAGTAAACCGAAGTTAACCAAAGTTAACCAGTTCATATATCCTCAATAAGTTCTTTTCTATAATTTCGTCATCATACTTATACTTGCTTGTATTAATTTGGGACATTTCGCCGTGCATGTGCAAGATTTGGATTAGGGCTTTATCTTCATCACGAGGATGCTTTGTAAAAGGGTCATCTTTTAACCACGGCAAAGTATAAAACTCAGCAAAGCTTAAGTTTTGGTTTCTAAGATGTGTAATTTACTGATATTGATCGCTTTAGAATTTGAAATCGGATAATGAAATTAGCCTCGGAAGAGTCTTTGTTGCATAGTTCTGTAACTTAACTTGAGGTTGCAACTTTAACCATTAAGAGTATCAATTTGCAGCAATTGGCAAATAAATATATATAACATAAACAAAGATTAACGTACGACAATAGATATCATGAATTCGAATAATCCCAATGAGATTACTTGAGAGACAACATTATTATTTAACATAAATAATGAGATTAATTAACGGACAATTAATAGGAATAAGACGAACATAATCAATGACACTAAGACCTTTGTTTGTTACCAACGATTGTAAGTGGATCACTTTAGTTTAACTTGTTGAGTCGTAAAACGCGTACATACAAACGAAAGAAGAAATTTCACCTCCACACACGTTAAAAATTTACTAAAATTATTGGCCGATTAGCATTGAGATCATTGGATACCAAGCATGAAACTGACAGATTTGCTTTAGTAGTTTAGCTCTTCCAAATACAACTGAATCACACAAGTTTACATTTTTTTTTAAAAGGTTTTCACTTTATTATTGTTTGTACACAATTTCAAGGGAAAAACACGTCAAAACTTACTAATTTCTATGACTAATTAATTAACAGAGAGAGAGAGATATTAGTTCACATCAAGTCGTCAATCCACAAAACCAATCTAAATATACGAAATATTTTTTAAAATATTACTAATTATTTATATTATTCAAATTTCGAAACACACAGATGTGATATATTTATATTAGAATCTCAGAGGTTGTGACTTGTGAGTGACTGGGTGATCACGTGAGTCGTAAAACGCGCACATCTTTACTTTATATTTCCAAATGGAGAAATGTTAGTTACACAAACTTACTATAATTATTGGCCAATTAGCATAGAGATTATTGAAATACCAAACATGAAATTGACAGAGTTTCTTTCACACGTTTTTGTAGTTTAGTTCTTCGAATACAACTATTATTTCCTATTATATCACACTTCAAAATATACATTGATAATGAAGTTAACTTTTTTTTTTTTTAAAGGTTTTCACTTTACTTATGTGTATGAACAATTCTTGGGTTCACCCCCTTTACTTGTAGCCAATCATTTTTTTTTTTTTTTGGTGAGCTTGTAGCCAATCATTATGCCATGTCATATAACAATAAATAGAATTAAAAATTAAATATAAAATAAATTAAATTAAGAAAATAAATCATTAATGTTAAGATACATTAATTAAGGGAGCCGTGATTACCAAAACAAATTAAAGGAGTCGTCGTCTTCTTTGTTTTAGGGTTCCAAACTAAACAATTTTTATTTGAATATATAGGATCACGTGAATGCAATCAGTTTGTATAGGATTATGTATGCTTTTTGTTTTGGGTTTGTAATTATGTTGTTTTAACCCTCTCTTCATGTGTCTAGTCTCATTTAATCAATGTGTTTTTTTGTTGTTTTGGTAAAACTCATAAAATCAATGTTCCTACGAAGAAGATGGAGTTGTCAATTTTTTTTGTTTATTTTATTTGATTGAGTTGTCAATTAAATGTCAATTAATTAAGTACAAGGATCATATATATGCATTGTAAGTATAAAACTAATGCAATCAATTACTTCACCATCATCGGTGATGAATTTTCCATTACCAGGATTAATGGCAGCAAAGAAGCTTAGAAGAAGAAAGCAACATTTAAGAGGACGAGTGGTTCAATATCTTGAATTGGTATACCGGTCTCAATGTTGAGTTGCGCTAGTGCTCGTTTTCCGGTTATAATCTCTCCGATCAGCAGAAAGTCGATAGGACACTATTCTTAATTTAAAGACTAAGATCAGTCAAGGCTAATTCAGTTATACTACGTACTATAGAAATCCATCATGTTATATTCTATAATTTATTTTCTTAATTTATTTTATTTTTTAATTTAATTTTTAATTTCTATTTAATTGTTATATAACATGGCATAATGATTGGCTAAAACTAAAAGAGGTGAATATAATGGTTCACCCCTAGTTCACCCCTAGGAGTGAACCCAAGAATTGTCTATTTTCTTTATGTTGTTTCACTAAAACACAAGTTTCTGACTACAGAGTACTGAGCCCTTGATACACGGTAATAGAAGTCGAAATCTTTTGGTCTACATAATTACTCAATAAGATTCCAGATTCTTGAAAGAACAAGAACAAAGAATCAGCTTTCTCACCCAGAACCTGTAATACAATTATCAATCGAGTACAACAATGCATTAGACCGTGGTCATTTGTCTAAGTGCGTCATCAGGCAGCAAAACTCTAAACACTGCATAATGATGGTTCAAACTCTTTTCCCCTTGAAGTCTATGAACACTCCCGAGACCACCTGTCGTGGGGTTTGGAAAAGCATAGAAAATTCGTTTTATTCTTTGATGCACAAGCGCCATAGCACACCTTGGGAACATATCACGACTTTATTAGATACAAAAACTTGCGGATGTTAGGAGGGTAATGTATGTAGAAACTCACATTGTACAAGGCTCCAACAGGAGGAAAATATCATAACCAGTGCAGAGGTACGGCCTTTCCATTGAAGTATCTCTAAGAGTCTCTTCTCCACTGTCAATTTGGACCTATCGGTAACTCAGAAGTGTAAGAGAGAACGCTGTACTAGTCAAAGCACGTCGAGGAAATTAAAAAACCTTGGTTGGAATGAACTTACGTCTGGACTCTGACTGCTTGTTTTCTGCTTTTTAGCCAGAGAATCTGTATTTGAGGGCTGAACATGATCCGGACGAAAACTCTCGGATGAATTGGGAAACAGATGTCTATCTCTGGCCGAAGAAGATTCAATGGCAACCATGGAAGCATGCCTAAGAGGATGCCATTGGCTACAATTTTCAGTGTCATGCGGCTGCAAACTCCATTGCCAGGGATTTAGACAAGCAACAGCATACAATGAACCATTCTGTTTTTCAAGTATGCCATTTAAGCATATTTCCCCTGTTTCCTTGAAGGGCCTGGTCCCTGCGCTAGTATTGTCGCGAGGAGCAGATAGTGCATATACTTGATCAGTTTCACTAGCTATTATTCGCCTAACTGAAGGATCAACTATCACTGCAGCATTTACAAGCTGAAAGTACATTAGAATGAAACCATGGTAAATCTTACTGCAAGAGAAAAAGGATTGAGGCGCTAAAAAAAGCGAATGGTGTGTGAGAAATGAAAACAGATTAGGAGACTCTGGTCTGTTGTCTAAAACTTTAGATCGACGTTATATCGATCAATGGAAAAAACTTACTGGTTTATGACCAGATACTGCCATATCAATAACAACTCTCATGAACTTGCAGATTGATTGTGTGTCCTCCTCGCTGAACCCACCAATGCCATCTATATTGCTGTCATTGCCAAATGCAAAAAAGAAACAAATCATTGACTGCTGCACTATAAACAAAGACATATATTGCTATCACAATGCAGATAAGACTATAAGAGCACTAAAAAAAATCATCAAGTAGGATTATTCTAGAACGACTAAAGCTTAGATAATAAAAAGACAAGAAAGATAATGTAGACAGAATCATTTGGTTACAAAACTAATTCAAGAAATAAAAATCTAAGAAAAGAGATGGAGCTTACTAGGTTGGGGGATGAAAAGAAGTTGGCCATATCTTACTCTGTTCTTCCCACTCTTCTTTCGATACCGCAGCATATTTGCATACCTATCATAGTTATAGCAGAAATATGAGATTCCACTAATGAACAGAAATCTTCGACTTGGAAGCTAAATTAACAAAAGACTTGAAGAAAATAGTGGTGAGAGAAGAGAAAAAGAAACCTACTTGTGTAATAAAAGGACTCAACTCATAGGGATCAACGAGTTGCTGTACATCAGGTGGCAAATCATTCAAAGGATCGTTATGCTCAGGTGCTAGACATAAGATCACAGTCAACTGAGTTTCACCTGTCCAACAAGCTTACAATCAAAACCTCATAATTTTTATGTTTGGTGTATCACTACGCCAAGAAAACTAACAACGGGATACCGCGATCTGGAAGAATCTTCTTCTTCACCCTTTTAACATGACGAAGATCTTCTAGAGGAGCAATCTTACATAACTGCCTAATCACACCAAAGTCAAAATTCACTCATTTAAGTGTACAGTTGGAAAAAAACTGAACATGAGATTACAGTCAAGGAATCAGAGTCGAAACAAGAATGACAAACCTGACTATCGTATTGGCAAATTTGGGTTTGATTACACTAGCATATACCTTCACTGTGAACAACAACAACAACACACACAAGAAGAAGTTTAACTAAATAAAGAACCTTTGATAGACCAAAACGAGAAGCCTTTGAGATTGAATCATACCAGTGGGCTGATGGTCAGGTGACAATGCAGGCTTTTCAGGTATATGGATGATTTCCCATGCATCTGAATCCATAATCTTTCTCTATTACTTGAGCCTGATTAACATCATTAGCTCAAATTATAAGAATTGGGGAGAAAACAGAGACGAAAAACTCCAAACTTTTTCAATGGAGATTGATGACAATTGAAATAAAAGAACTTGCAAAAAGTTTCAACATATAACCAAACACTTTCAATTTCCAGCTTCAATAAGTAGAGTGGTGAGTAAAACCCAGCTCAGGCTTTTCTAAGCACTCTATTGAACAGCATTATCGAATTCAATAGTTCATCAAATTTCAGACCAAGTACTCACAATCAGATGCAATTCCAGAAACCGTACAATATTACCTAGAAGAAGGTAAGAGATTAGATTAACTCACGCTAAAGCTTTGCTCAAGCAAAGACACAGAGACCGCCGAGAGCGAGAGAGTTTTTCACCCAAAAAAAAGTGGAGAAGACGAGAGCCTTCACAGCGACGTCGTTTTAGGTTTCACTAATTAACCTAATTAATTGAAAATTAAATTAAACGATTAATAGCGAGGAAACTAAAAGGAGCGGGACGACAACTAAACCCTACGCTACATAAAAAGGCGACCTTTAGCCTGTTCGTTTCGTCGCCGCTGGTGGCTGCGGCGGCGGCAAACACTGCCGCAGGTTGTTGTTCGTTTCGTCGCCGCCGCCGCAGCCGCAGCCGCAGCCTCATAAATCTCTCTTCGAACTTCGTCATGATGTAATCTTTCCCAGTTTGATTCATTCCTATACTCGTTCTATTTCCTTTTCTTCTCTCATACGCGTAAAGTTGAAAAAAATACCGAGTTTCCTCATCTGACCAATTCTAAAATTGATGCATAAAAAACTTTGAAACCAAAACCACTAAGATCAAAACCAAAACACTAAGATAAAAACCAAAACACTTACATGAGAAATCAAAAGAGAAGAGAAGATAGAGTAGATAAGTCATTCAGTGACATGTTCACATGCAACAGAATTTATACTAAAAAGTTAAACTTTTCCAGATTATGAATGTTAAAACAAAAGCAATCTTTTCAACAAAACGATAGCAAATCATGGACTAACAACTTAACAGAGTAAGTCAATAACTGAGGCTGCACCAAAGTCGAAACGTTTGGTAACAAACAAAAACCAAACCAGAGACTTAAACCAAAAAACGTTTATGGGTTTTTCACAAGCAACTCATTTGCCAAAGCAAGAGCTTTTGTTTTCATTATACTTGAGCGTGACATGAGTTTGAATTATACACACTGCTATGTTTACTCCTCCTTTATACACACTAAGAAACGCTTTCAAATTTTGAATTTGCAGCATAAAACAACTTTTCATTCGTCAAAGACTCAAAGCATTATGCTGAGATTAGATTCATTCAAAGAAATAAGTACTACATTCAAAGCTAACCCAGAATCAAATCATTCATAAACGAGCTAGAGATTCCAAATTTAAGAAGACACAGCTAAATCGGGCTAAGAGGAGTAACAATTCGCAGAAACCCATTACTTTGAAGCTCTTCAGGATCATCAAAATCGAAGCTTTTTGTGATACTGAACTTAGAGATGAACAAAGACGAAGAAGTAGAGAAAGGACAAACCTGATTGAAACAAGTGGGTGATGATCGTCAGGGAACAAGCTCGAAATCTTCGAGAAACAAGATCGAATTAGAAGCTCGAAATCGTCGGGGAAAAAGCTCTAAATTGTCGGGGAACAAGGAACAAGTTCTAAATCGTCGGCGAACAAAATCAAAGAGAAGAAGAGAAGTCGTGCAAGCCATTTAGGGTTAGGTTTAGGTTTATCTGTGATTTCTAAAAAAAAAATTAAGGATATTTGTGTCATTTATCACACATATAACGCAACGTTCTAATTGCTGCCGCTGATTTCAACTGGCGTTCAAAACGAACAGCCTATTAAGAATTTTGACCGGCGATTGTAATGGCAGGGTTAGGGTTACGGCTAAAGGCGGCGAAATGGATGTTGAGGAGCGGATCAGCTACTGTATCGAGGGGATGGTCGTCGGAGATGGGGAAGGGTGTTCGTCGCTTCTCTACTGAAACAGAGAACGATGTTCCAACTTCAGGAATCAGTAGACCACTCGCTGAGATTCTCAAGGAGCTTAACAAAAAGGTTCCAGATTCCGTCATCCGAACTCGAGTTGAAGATGGGTTCTCCATGAAATACATCCCATGGTATTAGGGTTCTTTAATTGGGGGTTTTGAGAGACTGAAATTTGTTTTTTTTTTGGGGTCAATACTTATACTTTGTTGTGTTGATTCTCAGGCACATTGTTAATCGGATCATGAATATGCATGCTCCAGGTTTGCTAAACCCCTCTTGTTCTTCTGAGTTTCGTTGTTGGGTTTTGGTTTTGACATTTTTATCTATGATTCTCTGTTTTCAGAATGGTCAGGAGAAGTTCGAAGTGTCACTTACTCTCCTGATGGTAACACTGTCACTGTGGCTTATCGCGTGACTCTCTACGGCACTGATGCTGAGGTCTTTCTCTCCCTCTTGTTTAAATATTATGGTTTGATTTGATTAGCCTTTAGCTTAAGTGGTCTCTGGTAGAGTTCTTTGCCTTCTTGTCCGAGAAGCTGCAAACATAGAAACCTAGTTGTTGTTGTTTTACTTTTGACTTGTCCAATCAATGAGTGCATGTTTAACAACTCTGTAGAAACACCAACTCCGAGTCCGAGTTATAGATTCGGTTATTAGTACTTACAAACCTTAGAGATGATAGCACTTGTGAATAGGGAGGTGTCACCTGTTTTCTTTAGTAAAAGTGCTAGTGGTTTGCTTCCTTGCATACTTTGATGAGCATATTATGTGTTAATTGTTTTGCTTGTAAGCTGAAATCATTTTTTTCTGTGTTCTGAAGATATTTAGGGAATCAACAGGTACCACTTCTGTAGATGACAAAGGCTATGGTGATGCTGTGCAAAAGGCGGAAGCAATGGCATTTCGCCGTGCGTGTGCAAGATTTGGATTAGGGCTTCATCTTTATCACGAGGATGCTTTGTAATTAATGGGTCATCTTTTAATTAACCATGGGAAAGTGTAGTTTTTTGGTGTTCCCACTGCCTAGTAGTAGTAGTCGTTGAAGGTAAACTCAGGGAAGCTTAAGTTTTTGGTATCTAAGATCTGTATCTGCTGATATTGTTTGCTTTAGGATTTAAAATCGGTTAATGAAATGATCCTCAGAGGACTCTTTGTTGCAACTTTAACCAGGAAGAGTATCAGTTTGCAGCAATTGGCAACTGCACTCTCTGTTCACTCCTTATGGAAATTCCCATGAAAGTATCCAATACACTCGGGCTGAGAAAAATACCGAGACTAAAATGGGATAAGAGTAGCAAAAGACATTAGAATAATAGTACATACTATTCACAAGGAGCCACATGTTATCTTTCAGAAAGTCTTGATGTATTTCTTGATCTCGAACAAGATTGATTGATAGTTGACAACATCCCTGTTCAGAGTAGATCCACCATCTACACAGTCTGCGAGTCTTGTGTAATAGAGCAAAAGTTGTGTCAATGCAGCTTTCAAAATATCCATACCACACAAGAAGTTACTGAACGATGTTATGATATCTTTGTCCATCAACTCAATCGCTGTCTTCCATCTGCTTCCAAAGTCTTTCACCAGCGGCTCTACTTCAGCAACTGTGATGGACCTCTCTAAATTTGAACTTGAATCCTCAGCTGCTACATATTTTACAGTTCAGTGGTTATTCGACTTAACAAACTACAAGTGCGCAAAGACAAGAAAGAAAGAAGGTGCTTACAGGCTCGAGTTTTCACAAATTTGATCATATCACTGAAATGCTCCACCAGCAATTCTTCCTGCGAGATTATAAGAAAATGAACAAAACAATGGATACATAATAACATCAAATGCTACTATCTTTTTATGGTCTTTGTTTATCTTGATCAAATAAAAATCACTATCCTTGAAAAATGAACGAGGCTAAATTTACATCAAATTTAAGGTGAAGGCTTACTACATATGCTTGTGTTAAAACCATGAAGCAAATTATAAAAGGCAACATGACTTCAATATGAAATCAAACTGAAACATTGTCCCTTACCGCAAATAAGGAAGTGTTGCTCTTTAGTAATTCCTCAAAATGCATTTGAATTTTCCCACCTTCTGGTTCAGCTTCCTAGAATAGATGAAGATGATCAAAACAGATTATTCTGGTAAAGTAAGCAACAATAGATATGACTTAAGATTCATAGAAAATTTGATTGGTCTACACGGGTAGACTTAACATGAGACGGCTAAGGATTCAACTCACCTTCAGCACAGCGATTGTCATATCGTAGTTGTTTATGAGAAACACAATCTGCTGCTTTGGCTTCGGGAACAACTTTGCAAGCTTAAGAATCAAGCTGTCTACTGCCATTCTTAAACGCTCCAAATTTATATCCAGCTGCAGAGTTTCATAGACAATGTCAAGCGCTTTGAGTGACAAGCGTATCATATGAGACAGAGAGAATGCTTATAACGAACCTGCCCATCTCCATATTCAACATTCAGATGAATAAACGAAGCCGTGAATTCAGCATAACGCCTCATGACATAGTGAGGATGAACATCATCTTCCCATAATGTATTTATGTTTGCATCTCGCAGACTGCTGATGTGCAAGTCAAACACCATCTTAAAACGAGGCCACAAAGAAATATTAACCTGCTCAATTTGAAAAATGTAAAAGACTCATTGAGAGAGGACATTAAGAGTAGATAAAACAGACTCAAAGAGACAAGGAGTTACAAACCTTGTCCAGATATGAATCCAGGCATGGAATCCTCCGGCGAGACATGATAAGCTGTGAAAAAGTGGCAAATTGAGCGTTGCTTTAAACACATAGTGGACAAATAAACCATCATGACCCTTGCAAAAGGGGAATATAAGCTATAGTACTAGAGTATCATCTGTTGAGGCAAAATATAGACCAGTTGTGGAACACTTATGTAATCCAGAAACATCTGAATCTTGCAAGACATTAAAACTCCTTTCAATGCTAAGTGGTAAATATCTCACCATACTTCACTGGACCACTAATTTCTAATGTGAGTTTAAAAATGCAAAACGGAAGCTAACTAAATTACTTGATTCCAAGAGATTCACTAAAACACTAAAAACTAATCATTGGGTTATAGTTAATACCTGGTGGTGGTGTATAATGCGAATCATAAGCATCAGACCGATAGCATCAAAACAGTTTGAGAGGACGGAATCGACGTGCTCATCGATAACAGAGAATGGACCTGTATCATGGAGAATTCAGAATTTATCCAAGAAAAAAATTGCTACTATGCAACTTTTTATCCGGAAGAAGACAAGAAATTTCTTAAAACACTACTCAAGTACCATATCAAATTTGTAACAACTACTCTAACTATATATTTTGGAAGGATTTCTACAGTTTGGTATAGAAAAAGGAGGAAAGATTAAAAATTACCCGCAAAAATTTCATAGAATATAGACTCTTCACCAAAGAAATCATTACAAAACATATACCTGTCAAAAATGAAAACAAATGACGTTAACAAGAAGGTTTGAGCGGTGAGCAACAATAACACAAATAGAAAAGGGGAAAAATCAACAGAACTCAGAAGTAGCTGTATCCATAAGTAGCTTGTGCAAACTCCTGAAGAGCACTTCATAAGGATATTTGAACGAGCTAGCTTCGGCAATGTGCGGGATCAATGCAGGTTGATCAATTTCCTACATTAGACATAGTGAAACTTAAGTCTTTTAACAAACTTTTGTTATATAATACCATGTCATGTGAACGTAGGTAGGAGTAAATAATTCTCCAGATCATGCTCAATGGTCACTGGATAATGAATACCTTTATAACTTTTATCCTCTCACCCAAAGCAAAAACGGCAGAGCGGTTCTTTAGTGGCTCCCTAGCTCTTGAGAAGAGGCCACTGCTTCTAGTCTCTACCCCAATAAGGTCATTTGATGTGGCTATATCTAACTGTAATTTCTCAAATTCTTGAATATAAGCATGAAAATGTGCACTTAACACCTGAAACCAGATCTCACATTACATTAGATGTAACCACAATTGAAAGTCTAAGCTAACATACAGCAGTATATCTCAATAACTCTAGTGAGAATACAAGAAAAGGAGAGCTAGTACTTGTTCATGTCACCTCACCTTGTTCATGGTATCAATATATGCAGCGCGGACATCCATAAACACTTCTTTTCCATGTTCTTTGAGGAAGGAGATAATATACCTATCATTAAAATGTAATTGGTAAATGAAGTATGGATCCACATACACATATATGCAGAACAAATTCAACAGAAACATACATGCAAGACAGGAAATGTTATCCAATTAGTAATTTCACAACGTAAAACCAAATAAAGGGGCTTAGAGAGGAGAGAGCATAACTCACTTGTACTTTAATAACACACTCTGTTGAAGAATCTGAATGTTTGTTTTTGGTTTCCTCAAGGCAATAAGCTTCTGGACAATAAAATCATAAACCTGCAATACGGAAACAAACATATTGCATGAGAACACATTTTAGAATTGCTCCCTCGACGTGCATGCCCTTTCAGCATTGGAAGAGAACAAACAAAGACATAATTGTTAGGGATCAAATAACAGAGACAGTAGATTAATAACCTTGGAGATAGCTTTTTGTCGGAGCTTTTCAAGCTCAGGCTCTACATCTTTTAATGCTTTGGAACTTTTAACTGCTTGATCTGCTTCTACAAATTTCAGCTTCTTGCTCAGAATTTCAAGTGTTTTGATATACTCTCCATCGACCTGAATAAGGAAAATAGCAAGACTATCAGACTAGAAATAAAAATCCTACCAAAGCTACATTAATAGAGGGAATTTGAAAAATACCTCTCCATCAACAATTACATATATCATCTTTGGTGGCACTATAATGTCTTCGACAAATTTTGCTAGCTTTGATTCAGCTACCTGTTCAAATAGAAGAGCTCATTTGGATGAGTCACGAGTGGAAGCAACAAGAGAATACTAATAGTGGTTTCTGATTGGCTATACCCTGCGATATTTCAGTCTCAAACCCATGTCCATTGAATTTTCTTGAAGAATCTTTATGTCTGAACTTATAGAACCAATCTCTTCCTGAAAGAAAAGAAGAAGCAAAGAGCGCATTTAGATTACAAGGAAAATACAGAGACCACTAACCTGGTATAAGGAGAAAGAAGCATATACACACAAAAACTATATAAATTGTCAAATACCTGAAATCCACTGAGAAGAGTTTCCATTTGTGACAAGATGCCGTCACAGTCACGAATCTGATCGTGAAGTGAGACTAGCTTATCACTTTCTTTTATGTAATCCTGAGTATTCATGGAGGGTAAATCATTTAAGTAAGCTACTTACAAGACCAAAGAAATTCCCAAACTTGTAGACGTACAAAATATATTACAAGAAAAGTAGAAAATAACAAGTGCCATAATGAATCAGAGGTAAGACTAGCAACCTGAATGGAATCCAATTCGACCTTCCATAGATTGTTTTCTACACCTTTTGCATATTCTCTAAGTTTGTCACCATTGGATAGAATATTGGCGACAACCTGAGCTGACACAAACAAGATAGAGAGGATTGGATCTAAAATTCTATGCATAATGAGCAATACTTGAAACAAAAACAACCGAGGTGCTTAGTTATGAGAATAGCTAACCTCATCAGTTTCACATTCTTCAAGTTCTTGTTGAAGCCCTTCCAATGAAATATCCTCACTGTTCAACAAACAAAATTGAAAAGAGTAATGTCGATATGTTGAAGTTCAACAGAATCAAAGGAGATCATTCTAATCAGAACAATAAAGAAAAGTTGGTAATCGAATTTAAGATTAAAAACAGAAAAAAACATGAGAACGTTAATTACCTGCCTCTTGAATCCTCTTCAAAAGCCAAGTCTCCGACTAATGCTCCTAAATCAAATCCATGTTTCTGATCATGATCACTCAAGTCGCACATAGCTTGGCCCTATGATTTTAGGTTAGACGACCAAAGCGAATTAGACTTAAACTTACTTAGATAAGAGACTTGGCCGGCAAATCATACAGGATCAATGAATGATAAACCCTTGACCTTGAGAGGCTTAGAACTCAACAAATCAAATTTAGAGCAAAAACGAAGTTCAAAAGCTTACCAATGCAACGACGGACATCTTGCGGAAT